TCTACAGGTACGAACAGAGTCCGGACGGGTTGTGTGTTTTGCCAAAGACTAAACCACATCTCGGCAGTTTGCACACGCTTTATAAATTAACCGGTGGAAATTCGCTGGCGTTTAGTGAGGAAATTGCGACTGTGCATTAATTGTTTGAAACCTGGTCACGTACGCAATGACTGTAGAGCTGAGAACTGTTCGGTGTGCCAAGCGCGGCATCATTCACTTCTACATATGATGAGATCGGCTACGAGGTATGATAGAAGAAACAAGAAGGTCGACGAACCGCCAAGTAATGCTCCAGAGCAAGTAGGAACTGCCTCAACGTCCGCCATCAATAATAAAAGTTGACTCTGTATGACACACACGCTCCTGAAAGTAATACCTCTACGCGTGTCCAGCTCGACAGGATCTATAGATACTTACGCGCTGCTGGATGAAGGATCGACCGTCACACTGGTCGATAGGAAGTTAGCGCGGCAGATAGGGTTAAGAGGCACCAAGATAAATGTTGCACTAAAAGGAACAAACGACCATGGGGCTGTCACCACAAGATGCGAAATGTCAGCGTTTTGGTACAGGGGCCTTCCGGTTCCCACTTCGTTCAACATGTATTAACAGTGCAAGATCTAAGCCTACCCATCCAATCACTTCCCGATAACCTTGTGAAACACGTGAAGGAATCTAATCGAGTAGATTTACTCCCTTATAAAGAAGTGCAGCCAAAGTTACTTTTGGGCCAAGACAATTGGAAATTGATAGTGACCCGCGAGTTGCAAGAAGTGAAGGGCCACGATCTTGCGTTGTCGCGGTCTCTTTTAGGCTGGGCTGTACATGGGTTGGTAGGATCGCGTTCAGATTGGAATAAAACCTCGATCGCGTGCTCAAGAAACGGAGCGGGCGTATTCAGTATCGGACAGTGTGGCGACAACAAAGGGCTCGACGAATTGATCAGGCTTTACTTTCAGTTAGATGATTTTGGTGTTCGTGTGGATACGCGGCCTAAAAGTGTTCATGATCATGCTCTGACAACATTAAAGGAGACAAGTTATTATGCGGGCATTGCGTGGATAACGGGGTTATTGTGGAATTCCAACAGTACACCAAGGATTGAAAGTATTACTACCGCGAAGAAAAGGCTTTTTTCGTTAGAAAAGAAATTGGATCGGAATCCAGACTATGCCTCGCGTTATTACAAAGAAATGGAGAGACTTATCAGAGACGGGTACGCCGAAAAGGTAGAAGAAAACACTCAGAGTACGCGTGTTTGGTACCTGCCGCATTTCGGTGTGCAGAACGCGAGTAAGCCGGGGAAGCTGAGAATAGTTTTTGACGCGGCTGCCAAGACAGCTGGTATTTGTTTGAACGACCAGCTCGAGTCCGGGCCGGATCTTTTGCAACCGTTGCCGGGGGTGTTATTACGTTTCCGACAGTACGCTGTTGCGTGTAAAGCAGATATTAAGGATATGTTTTTGCGCGTGAAAGTGAGAAAGGAGGATCGGGACGCGCAGAGATTTCTATGGCGCGGTCACGATCGAGAGAGGGAGCCCGAAGTTTTCGCAATGACATGCTTAATTTTTGGTGCGAAGTCCTCGCCTTGTAGTGCGATATATGTCAAAAATCGGAACGCGGAAGATTATATTAATTCTCAGCCGGATGCGTATAGAAGTATCACAACTAATAGTTACATGGATGATTATTTGGTCAGTCGGAAATCCGCGCAAGGGTTGATAGATTTGGTTCGAGACGTAACACGAATAAATGCGCGAGCAAATTTCGAGATGCACGGCTGGGCCAGTAACGATGGGGTAGTGAAGGAAGCTGCAGCAATGGGGAAATCGGTAAAAGAGGGTGTAGAGATGAGACTCTGTGACCGAGGGGGAGAGAAGGTGCTAGGTCTTTATTGGGACACAAAGATAGACGAGTTAAGGTTTAGAGTCGATATGAACAAAATTCCCGCAGAGGTGGCGCACAGACGCAGGAAACCGACGAAGCGTGAATACCTTCGCGTCATTATGTCGATATTTGACCCCCTCGGGTTTCTGGTACCTTTCACGATAAAGTCGAAAATATTAATGCAGAAGATTTGGCGCAGTGGGATTGGATGGGATGAACCGTTGCGGGATGAAGAGAATATTGGTTGGCTATCGTGGTTGCGGACGCTGCACGTTGTGAACGAAAGTCGCGTTCCACGCTGCCTTGTAACAACAGTTTCCGGGCACTTATTGGCGCAGTTGCATGTATTCTGTGATGCGAGTTTGGAAGCGTATGCTGCCGCAGCTTACATAAGGATCGAAGGGGAGAACCCTCCATCAAGTACGATCTTAATAATGGCGAAGTCAAGAGTCGCGCCTTTGAAGCCGCTTTCCGTTCCACGTTTAGAGTTGCAAGCTGCGCTGCTTGCAGCAAGATTAGCTAACACTATTACTGAAGAACTGGATATTGAGTTTCATCGACGCTTCCTATGGTCCGATTCGGCAACCGTGTTGAGATGGATAAAAGGGGAGCCCCGTACGCGGCAAGTGTTTGTAGCCCACCGTCTCGGAGAAATTGGGGAGCTCACGAAGAGCTCAGATTGGCGATGGGTCCCTTCAGATCAGAACGTCGCGGATATCGCGACGCGCTGGAATAATGGAGCTTCTTGTGATTCCACCAGCTGGTACTTTGGACCAGAGTTTTTGCGGAAATCGGAACGTTACTGGCCAGTAGAGAAACCACTCGAAGAGGCGCAGAAAGCAACGATAGACGAAACGGAAGCGCGCAAAACGTTTGTATACACTACCAGTTCTCATGAACCAGCTGGTTTTCCACTAGCGATCAACATTTTGGGATGGCAGGGATTATTGATTATGGCTAGGCGAGTACAATCAGCCGTGAATCGCTGGAAAGGGAGATCTCGCAATCCGATTTCCGTAGAAAGTACCGTAGCTGCAGAACGATATTGGTATCGCAAGGTTCAAGCCGACTACTTTAGTGAAGAATTAAGTGCGATCAAAAATAACAAATCAGTAAGTAAAGCCAGTAAAATAGCGAATTTAAGGCTTTATTTGGACGAATGCGGTATTTTAAGAGCCAGCGGTAGAGCAACGAAAATTCACGAAGCTGACTTTAATAACTACCCGATAATTCTTGAGGGTAAGCACTCCGCGACTAGAATACTCATAAAAGAATACCATCGGCGTTTCTATCATGGTAGTAATGAAGCTGTTGTCAACGAGCTCCGTCAAACCTTTTATACAGGGTGTTCGGCCACCTCTAGCAAAAATTTTAATGAGCGATAGTAGAGGCCAAAATAAGACAAAAAACAAGAATACTAATTTGTTGGTGGAAGCTTCGTTAAAAAGTTATTAACGTTTAAAGTGCCGCTCTTACTGAATTTTTTTCTCGAAAATGCGCAAGATTTCGGGGGTATGTCTATTCACCAAAAATGACTGTAATTGAACCCTACAACCGAAAATAATTTTTCCACAACGATTTGCAATTTTTTAATTTTCTCGAATAATTTCACACCTTCTCTATTTTTTTTCTCGAAAGTGGGCAGGATTTCGTGGGTATGTCTAATGACAAAAACTGATTATAATTGACCCCCGCAACCGAAAATAATTTTTCCACAACGATTTGCAATTTTTTTTTTCCGTTGAAAAATTTAGGCACCTAATTGGATTTTCAGTAAGGAATTTTTTTCTCGAAAGTGCGTACGATTTCGGAGGTATGTGTAATGATAAAAAATGATTGTAATTGATCCCCGCAACCGAAAATAATTTTTTTAAAACGATTTGAAAAATTTTTTTTCGCCGAAAAATTTCAGCAACTACTCGATTTTTTTTCTCGAAAGTAGATAGGATTTCGGAGGTATGTGTACTCACCAAAAATGATTGTAGTTTACCCCCGCAACCGAAAATAATTTTTCCAGAAGGATTTGAAATTTTTGAATTTAATTGTTAATAACCTTTTAACGAAGCTTCCATCAACAAATTAGTATTCTTGATTTTCGTCTTATTTTGGCCTCTACTATCGCTCATTAAAATTTTTGCTAGAGGTGGCCGAACACCCTGTATACCAGGTTTAAGGAAGTTCTTACGCTCGATAGTCAGTAGATGTTTAATATGCCGTTTACATCGTGCCAAACCTCAAGCTCCAGTTATGTCTACGCTACCAGTGGGGAGACTAGCATACAAACAGAGACCGTTCAGCCACTGTGGAATGGATTACTTCGGTCCCATGTCGGTTAAAATCGGCCGACGTAGGGAGAAACGTTGGGGAGTTCTTTTTACGTGCCTTACTACGAGAGCCATACACTTAGAGCTGGCCCACAGCTTGAGCGGAAGCTCAGCCATTATGGCATTGCAGCGGTTGGCTTCCCGTAGAGGTACCCCCCCTCGCTGTGTATAGTGACAACGGCACGAATTTCAAGGGCGCTAGCAAGGAGCTTAGGAAAGTTATCGCCGAACTGGATGGACAAAAACTGCAAGAATATACATTGGCACATAAGATAAAATGGGTATTTAACCCACCGGATGCTCCACATATGGGCGGAGCGTGGGAGCGCCTCATAAGATCGGTGAAAACTGCGCTACACGTGGTACTACGCGAACAAGCCCCGTCTGAGGAAGTACTGTACACGTTACTGACCGAAATAGTGGTTGCTAAAGTTAGAAATGATCCTTTTTGGTTTATTATATCAGTTCATAATTTGTGTTTCCCCGTTTCAGTTTTCTCCAATCGTTATCGTTTTAGTTTCTGCAGCTAGTTAAGAGACTTCCAAATATACAATAATCTATTTTCATATTGCGTGAAAGTGTATTGTTGCGAACTCGATATGGCATGAATGCTGCTACTTATTGGTTATTATTGTAAAATAAAGTTTGCCGCATTGATTGGTGTGCACAGGATGGATATTAACAATGTGGTTTCGTGTATTATGTTGTAAAACGTGGGTGTGTAATGCGATTTCAAACCAGAAATAAAAATGTACAAGGGAGTGCGAGAGGGGAGCCCGAGGACATTTGGGGTTAATTTTCCACCGTCGGAAACGAGATTTGAGGCGTCTCGCGGAATTCGCGGATCGGATAGAAACACCTCAACGTCGGGATTCTTTCCCAGGCCCACGGGTAAGGTTGTCGTAAGCGGCATCCTAGGCCCGGTAGACCAAAGGGGTAAACGTGAGCGTCTTCCCATAAACAAGGTCCACGAGCACGGCCGACCGTTCAAGTCGAGCCGAGGCCGTTAGGCTGAGCGAAGCCGCGAGACGAGCGATACAACGTGGAGTGGGGAAGATTACGGCAGTCTCGTCGCAGTACGCGTGGGGAAAGAGGCATTCCGGTCAGAGTTTTCATAGTGGCAACACGGCTGTCCTCGGGCTCTCCTCTCGCGCTCTGTTAAATATAGAATTTGTTCAACCGCCAGTTCGACGATAATAAAACATTTTTGTTACCGAACATATTGGATTTGTTTGTCTGTTTCCTGCTCGTATCCTGGGGTTCGTCCTGAACAGTCAGTTAATTCGTTAACCTGTCTATTAGTTAGCTAGGTTGTCAGATAGATAGTTTGTTTGCAGTTAGTTAGCTAGTTTGTCAGTTAGTTAGATATTTTGCATTAAATTAGTTAATTTGTCAGTTATTTAGCTAGATTGCAGTTAGTTAGTTAATTTGTCAGTTAGTTAGTTAGTTTGCAGTTAGTTTGTCAGTTTGCAGTTAGTTTGTTATTTTGAAGTAAATTGGTTAGTTTGTCAGTTAGTTAGTTAGTTTGCAGTAAATTAGGTTTGATTGTCAGTTAGTTAGTTAGTTTGCAGATAGTTAGATAGTTTGCATTAAATTATTTAGTTTGCAGTTAGTTAGTTAGATTGTTAGGTAGTTAGTAATTTAGGTAGTATATTAGTTAGTTAGTTTGTAAGTTAGTTACTTGGTTTGCAGTAAATTAGTTAATTTGTCGGTTAGTTAGTTAGTTTGCAGTCAGTTAGTTAGTTTGTAAGTTAGTTAGTTAGTTTGCTGTTAGATACTTAGTTTGTCCGTTAGTTACTTAGATTGCAGTTAGTTAGTTAGTTAGTTTGCAGTTTCTTAGTTAATCTGTCAGTTAGTTAGTTAGTTTACAGTTAGTTAGATAGTTTGGAGTAAATTAGATATTTTGTCAGTTAGTCAGTTAGTTAGCTTGCATTTAGTTAGTTAGTTTTTCAGTTAGATAGTTAGTTTCTCAGTTATATAGTATGTTTGCAGTTAGTTACTTAGTTTGTCAGGTAGTTAGTGAGTTTGCATTATATTAGATAGTTTGTCAGTTATTTACCTAGATTGTAGTTAGTTAGTTACTTTTGTCAGTTAGTTAGTTAGTTTGCAGTTAGTTAGTCAGTTTGCAGTCAGTTTGATATTTTGCAGTAAATTGGTTAGTTTGTCAGTTAGTTAGTTAGTTTGCAGTTAGTTAGTTAGTTTGTTTTGTAGTTAGTCATTTAGATAGTATATTAGTTTGTGAGTTTATCAGTTAGTTACTTGGTTTGCAGTAAATTAGTTAATTTGTCAGTTAGTTAGTTAGTTTGCAGTCAGTTAGTTAGTTGGTATGTTAGTAAGTTAGTTTGCTGTTAGATACTTAGTTTGTCCGTTAGTTATTTAGATTGCAGTTAGTAAGTTTGTTAGTTAGCAGTTTCATAGTTAATTTCTCAGTTAGATAGTTAGTTCGTGAGTTAGTTAGATTGTTTGCAGATTGTTAGGCAGTGGCGCGTTAGTTAGTTAGATAATTTGCTGTTATTTAGTTCGTTTGTCAGTTAGTTACTTAGTTTGTCTGTTAGTCAGTTAGTTTGCAATACATTAGTACGTTTGTAAGTTACGTAGATTGTTTGCAGTTAGTTAGTTAGTTTGCAGTTAGTTAGATTGTTTGCAGATAGTTAGCTAGTTCGCAGTTAGTTAATTCGTTTGTCAGTTAGTTAGTTAGTTTGTCAGTTAGATAGTTAGTTTGTCAGTTAGTTAGTCAGTTTGCAATTTCTTAGTTAGTTTGTCGGTTAGTTAGGTAGTTTCCAGTTAGTTAGATAGTTTGTAAGTTAGTTAGTTAGTTTGCAGATAGTTAGTTAGTTTGTCAGTTAGTTAGTTTCTTTGTTAGTTCGTAAGTTAGTTTGTCAGATTGTTAGTTAGTTTACAGTTGGTTAGATACATTGCAGTAAATTAGTTACTTTGCCTGTTAGTTAGTTAGTTAGCTGGTTTGCTGTTAGTTAGCATGTTTGCATTATATTAGTTAGATTGTCAGTTATTTAGCTAGATCGCACTTCGTTAGATAGTTTGCAGTAAATTGGATATTTTGTCAGTTAGTTAGTTAGTTAGATTTCTGTTATTTAGTTAGTTTGTCAGTTAGTTAGTTAGTTTTGTGCAAATTCCTCAGTTTGTCAGTTAGTTAGTTAGTTTGCCGGTTACTTATTTAGTTTTCAGTTAGTTAGTTAATTTGTAAGCTAGTTAGTTAATTTGGCAGTTTGATAGGTATTTTGCTATTAGTTACTTAGTTGTCAGTTAGTTAGTTAGTTTGTAAGTTATTTAGTTAGCTTGACAGTTAGTCAGTTAGTTTGTCAGTTAGATAGTTAGTTTGTCAGTTTGTTAGTTAGTTTGCATTATATTAGTTACTTTTGTAAGTTATTTAGTTTGTTTGCAGTTAGTTAGTTAGTTTGTCAGTTAAATAGTTATTTTGCAGTTTATTAGTTAGTTTGCAGTTAGTAAGATTGTTTGCAGTTAGTTAGCTAGTTTGCAAGTTTGTTAGACAGTTTGCATTTTTTTAGTTAGTATGTCAGTTAGTTAGTTAGTGTGCAGTTAGTTAGATTGTTTGCAGTTAGTTAGCTAGTTTGCAAGTTTGTTAGACAGTTTGCATTTTTTTAGTTAGTATGTCAGTTAGTTAGTTAGTGTGCAGTTAGTTAGATTGTTTGCAGTTAGTCAGTTAGTTTGTCAGTTACATAGTTAGATTGCAGTTAGTTAGTTAGTTTGTCAGTTAATAAGTTAGTTTGCATTAAATTAGTTAATTTGTCTGTTAGTTACTTAGTTTTTTGCAGTTAGTTAGTTAGTTTGCATTTAGTTAGATAGTTTGCAGTAAATCAGTGACTTGGTCAGTTAGTTAGTTAGTTAGTTGGTTCGCAGTTAGTTAGTGAGTTTGCATTATATTAGTTAGTTTGT